AAATATATACACAGCAATTGCTACATAAATTTTTGTTATTCTGTAATTAGAAAGACAATAGACATATTTTTGAGAAAAATGTTAATCATTATTTTAACTTTTTATGTATAAGTTAGCAAATAAGGCATGATATTATCATAGATATTAACAAGTTTAAAGTAAGCACAAAAAAAGCCTAAAATTAAAAGAAAGCAACTCACCATTACCTAATTCATAGGCTCTAAAGGCAGAAAGAAGACTGGGCTCCAAATCCGATACCCATATACAGAGTTGGCTGTGCCTAAGTTTTTTGAACTGTACAATGAAGACAGCATAGGATATCGGAATACTGTAAGACTTTGCATTTAGAGGCACATTCTACAGATTAATTAAAAATAATCCATACGAAGTGTTTATCACGTTGACAAGAGAGTAATTAAGTTCTTTATAAAAGTTGGTATTTATTATCATTATTAATTATTGTTCTTTTTTTGTATTTTAGGGAAGGGTCTACAAGGTATTCAGGGTCTCACTACTAGATCCCACTCATAGTGATCCACCTGTTTACAGCCTTCCAAGAGCTGGGATTACAAGCACATGTCATCATGCCCGGTCTCAATTGCCATCTCAGGGGGTCCTGGGGGCGGGGCCGGCATGGCAGGCCCAGAGATCGAACCCCTGGACCCTGAACCTGCTTGCAGGTGCTTTAATCTGTTGAGCTATTTGGCCGGCCTTAATTGTTGTTCTTTAATATGAGCCTGATACAGCAATACGATCAAGAAACTGTCACAAAGCCTAAACCTCATGTCTAGCCCAAGCAGATGCTCAACCACGACCAACAGAACATTCTAGTAAGGAAGAAAAGCAAACACCTGGATACATAGATGTTGCATAGTAATGGATGTAAAAATGTCAGACAGCAGGGATTCCCACTTAAACAGAAGGGAGACACTCAATGAGAGAACTTTACAAATATCGATAGAACAGAAGAATGATCACTTTGTCCACATAATTCCCTGTGAGATTGATATTATTGTCTGCACTTTAGAGAGGAGAAAAATGAGCTCAGAATGGATAAATGTCTTGCTTAAATTTGAGGGGATGTGGGAAGAACCCTAAACTGAAACTTAAAAAAGAACCAGTGTTCTATGTGCAGGCCTTGCTAGCTTCCTCGTATCTTCCTGTCATCTCTACATCACCTGCTGAAGGAGGTAAGACTGGTAAGAGGAGTTTATCCTGTCAGGAACTATGAAGTCCTAGGTAGCAATAACACACACCCAAAGCTGGATCCAGAGCCCCAGCCCTGATGACTGAGCACTGAAAGTAGGGGTCTTCCTGAGTCACACAAATGGCCCTACCCTAGATTAGGGGAGATCTTGGTACAGGCAATCCCAGCTATGGGAACCTGCGAGATTGGGGAAGAGAATGAAAGGAGCCCAACCTGTTGCCCTGGTTTCTTCTAATTTGTATGTGAAACTTTTATAAAATGAGACACTTTCTCTTGTATAACTCAGTAAGGTTGCATATTGTATGTCCAATTCAAAAGGCAACATGCATATATCTCTTTTCATTTCAGGAAAATACAAATAACATGCACAACCCAGAAAGTGTGACTCCAGTGAGGATGCTGGACTGGACACTATAGCAGGGAGGAAGTGCTCTCCCTAGCGCTCTCTCCTTTCCACTTTCTGCAAAGCCCCCAACTGGGCACTTTCAGACATTTCCAACAATTAATCCCTCCCATCCTACCTGGGAGCGGCCAATAGAGGGCGAACTGTCTCTTCTTCCAAACCTCCATCACAAATAACATTCTCAGTCCCTTTCCTTTCAGACTGGTGTTCTTTACCAGTTTGGAAGAGTCTCTTCACACCCGCCCCCTCCCCATCCCCATCAATTGCTTATTTTGGAAGTATTCACTCAAACCAAAATAGGAAGGCCAGGGGAAAAAAATTCACATATCTTTTTGTTTGTAATTCTTCCCTCTCTCCCTCTTTCTTATTCATTCATGAATGCACATTCTTTTAAGTCTCATTCCCTCCAATGAACTGATAATCTAATTGGGTCTGCATGCACATATAACATGGTAACTGCCACAAGTAAAAGGTACTTAGAGAACACTGTAGAACAGAGAAGTAAGCATAAGAAAGCTTCCCAAAGAGAAGCACTATATTCTGTGTATGACTCTAACTTACATTTGTAATGTGCTTCTTGAGGTCTTTGTAGTCCTTCTTATCTGATACACAGTTCTCATTTTGGGGTTCATCCATCCTCTTTTAGGGCACTTAGTCTGGGAAGATAGGGGCACCTTTTTGTACTTGAGTCTCAACGTCATTTTCCTCAGCTTCTGCCTTTTGACTATCTGCTGGGTCCTTAGGATTAGCTTCAGAGCTCCTACTTCACAAACCGATTCTGGAGGAGCTGCCAGGTCCTAGCAGGTTTCGCAGTTGCCACTGTTTACTGGCTTCAAAAAATCATTTTCTCCACCACTTGTATGACTATTATTTCTATGCCAAGAATCGCACGTACCTTGATGCTTTTGAGATGTGCATCCTTCTTAACCTTACGACTCCCTTGAGTCCTTTCCATGCCTGACTCAAGTTCCTGTAGAAGTCAGCCCTTCTTATTTGTGTCTCACTACCTTTCAGGTGGTCCTACCACTGCAGTCCCGGACAGAGAGATAGTGACCTGCATGATGTTTCTTGTCTGTGCCCTATCTATAGCTTTCCTCAATCTTGTATATACTGCCATAAAAAACTGAAAAACACACTCACAAAGGGGCAAAGCTTTACCAGTGATTACTTTTTCAATGTACTGTGGATTTCTCACTTCTCTTTTCCATCTCTTGACCTTGACTTTTCCTGTGTTCTGTTATCTGTTGCTACATTTTAATACCTTTATTTTCACATTTGAACTGAAATACAGATAACCTCCTCTGCCAGAGTGGAAGCGCCTTTTCACACAGTGTAATGATGACAGTTTGCTGGCAAATGCCACAGTGAAGTGCTGGTGTCTTGTTGGGTTAAAAGAAATAATTATATCTCACGGAGTTGTGTGCTTTATTATTTCACTTTGCTAACAGAAAACCTAGCTACATTTTAACTTGCTTCACCACTTAATATTTATTATAGAACCATAGGATATGAGGGCCTTTGGAGCTCACTGTGGTGGGAACAGTTTCCACAGCAACTCTGGAAAAAGGTACCCACCAATAGCTTCTCTAGGAAACAGGGTGCCCCTTTTCAATATTGAACAGCTTCCTGTAACTTCAGTGATAATTAATGAGTCTCTGCTTTTCTGTAGGACAAAGAAATATGGAGAAATGTGTGTACTTTTGTATGCCATGGGGGGGACTAGCCCACAGGTAACTCTGGGGTTTGGTTAAGAATAAATTGTGGTTAAATCAAAATATTTATCATTAAGGCTGGGGAGATAGCTCAGCAGAGTAAGTGTTTGCCTGGCAAGTTCAAGGTCCTGAATTCAATCCCTTGTACTAAAAAAAAAAAAAAAAAAAAAAAAAAGGAAAAAAATTTATCATTAAGTACAAGTCTGTTTCACAAACAGAAAATTTCAAAAGCCCTTCTTCTTCTTCTTCTTCTTCTTCTTCTTCTTCTTCTTCTTCTTCTTCTTCTTCTTCTTCTTCTTCTTCTTCTCTTCTTCTTCTTCTCTTATATTGCTATTAACTTTCCGCTCATCAGTCACGATTTTTTTTTTTCACAGTCACGATTTTCAGGACGCATTTCATGCTACCCTTCTGCAGCCAGGCCCTGAGTCTGAGTCAAAGGGTACACCAGTCACACCCTTTTCACACCTGCCACAGAATTGGGCTTTTATTTTTCATGCTGATCCAAGTCACTTGTTGTCAAGTCATGGATTTCCTAAACCCTGATACACATCCTTGTGTGAATGGTGGTCCATTACGGAAAAGTTGATTGGTTCTCAACGATCAATGATCAGTGCCATCCGTAGGAGAACTTCTGACAATCACAGAGGAGAATCGAGGTTTTAATGATGCAATTTGCTTCATACCAGTTGGTTCTTTACCTGGCTTATCACAAACAATATTCTCCTACAGATCCGCTTTATTAATACATTCGCACTAAATAGAAGGACCCACCATGTTGCCCACGAGCTTGAAGAAACAAAACGACCCGGTCACATCCGATCACATTAAGGGTGCATGAGATCCAGGACTCCAGCGTCAAGACTCACTCAGCCTTCCTTCTGGAAGGGCTCGGCTCTGTTACTTTGCCGTCCCCCTCTTCTGTCATGTAGCACTTCGGCACAGACAGCAGGGCGACAGAACATACAGGACGCATACAGTTAAAATTCAGCTCAAGCCACAATCGTCCCCACAAGTCCTCGGCACCCCCAAGCCCACCCCGCGGTGTATTTACCTAAAACCATTTAAAGCCCTTAATTAATTCACCAGCAGCTTCGCTGGAGACGTCTCGAGCTTCCCGAGACTCCATTACATAATATCTTTTACAAAGTCTGTTCCCAGCTCAAGGGGAAGATGGATTCTCGTCCAGTTTGCGGAGGCTCAACGCACTGGCTTCCCCTTCCCGGGCTCAGATCCAGTGGGTGCGCAGCCCGCGCTGCAGCAATCTCCCGGGCCAGTCCGGGTCGTCGGGGTGGGGTGTCCACCACTCGCTCAACTCCAAACGCCGCCGGGAGCTGCAGGCGCCTCGCCCTCCGCGCTTGCGTCCAGCCCCGGTCCAGCGGTGCCGGACAGCGCTCCGGACGCCACCGACTGCGGGCGCGCGCTGGGTGCGCCGGACCTGGGAGGAGGGGGCGGGGAGGCGGCGGCG